TGCGGGGCTAACTATTTCCTTAAAAAGGAGAAGAACCGGGTCCCGGATCAGTCGTGGAAAGAGGTGTCTAGTTTCATTCAAATCCGATGAGAGGGAAAGGAGGCGATTGCCGAGTGCGCGGCGCGCAGCTACTCCACTGTGCCGTGTTTCAAGATAAGGGAATTCCCCACAGAAAAATGCAGTCTAGGAAGTTTCCCTCGGATGACAGTCCGTCACAAATGGGTCAATTCCGTGATTTTGGCGCCGAAGTGGCGCAGTTTTAGACTAATTATTGACTGTTTCGTGGTCAAATTCAGTCGTGGTGACGTCCTCGTTACTTGATCACGTTTACTAGGATGCCGGGCCGGCTGGTGCGATCGCTGTCGTGCTCGCGGGCCCGGGGAAGGAGGACTGACTACGCCGGGCCATGCACTTGCGCCCCCCAGGCCCCAGGCGCCGAAAGGCGTTGGCCGCGCTGGCCTGCTGCGCTCGCCGGGTGGAGGCGGCGGTCGCGCGGGTCGAAGCCCCCTTATCCTCCCACCCCTTTGCCTCCTCGCGAGGGGCGGCCAGGAGGGGGAGGCGGGGGCGCTGCGAACCGGAAGGACGTCAGAGCGCACAGCGGCACGTACAAAACCCACCACCGGGCAGGCGAGGCGAGCGCCGTCGGTGTAACCGCCGCGGGCGAGGATCTCTGCTGCACCCCGCGCGTCAGCGGAAGTGTCACGACGGGACAGGGCAGGAGACTCGGGAGGGACGCGATAAGAGAAGAGGATGACATTCTGCTAACATGGCGAGCCTAGCCGCCGCGCTGGGCTCCGTTTACATGTCGTCCTCTGCACACACGGCGGTGCTGCGCCAGGCTGCGCCGAGCGCTCCGCTTTGGCCTTGGGCGCCAAGGCCTCCCCGGAACCCGTGCTCCCCCTCCCCTCCGTGTAGGGCCCCAACAACGCGGGGCTCGCGGCCGCTGCGTGCACGACCCCAGGCTGCACTGCACGCCCAGACACTCTGTACCGCACTGGAGCCAGAACGGGTTCGAACACAGGTAGCGGTGGGCGGCTTGCATGTGGTCACACCGCTGCTGCAGCAGCAGGCTTTGGCCACCGTCCAAACGACCTGACCTCACCGTGTGCCTCCCGGCCTGCTCAGGTTGCTATTTCTGCCCGGTTGTGGCCGCGCCCCGGCCGCCCGGCCCGGCCCCGCTCCAACCCGCGCAAAAGGGCTGCAGCTGCAAGCTGCGTGCGCAGCGTGCGCCCTGCTCGCTCGGCACGGCCTACCCTACCGGCCCACTTCCCTGATCCGAAGAGGACCCGTCTTTCGCGCTTTCTCACACCATGCAGTGCTTACACCGCGCGGTCAGCTTTCGTTTCAACCTGCCGTGACCCCATACTACGAGGCAAAGGCAAGGTAGCTCCTCCGTCGCGTCGCGCCAGCAGGGGATGTCGACCGCGCGGGCCGGTCCTGGACCAGGGGGCGGGGCGGGGGCACCTGTCACATTGAGTGGTGAGGGATGCGGACGTGGTTTCTAGAACATGGATCCCTGCATCTCATCCCAACGCAAGTGGCAAAGCTTCAGCGCACACTGTGTGGGACTGGACGGTGGTGCTCGGCTGTGCTGTCCACAATGTGGACCAAGGATAAAGTGCCTGGTTTAAAAAAATATATACTTCATACAAATGCCTTACTAAAAGCTCATCTCAGAACAATTCATAACTACGTCAAAGAACGACACTACTTTTTTGTTTTAACTGAACCCAAAATGAAAGGGAAGAGGAGTATTTTATGTCATCAGCAATTGAACGTTGATCACACAACACCAGACAGCCAAACTATTTACATCCAATACTCTATTACTCCAGCAAATTTTGTCCATGGCCAATGTGAGGTGTTCGATGAAATTGGTAGTTTCTTGGAATAAATGACCAAAAACCCCCTGCTTAACTTTGACTTGCGACAGGTAGGTACTATGCCGTTGTGACCATAATCTCTATCTTTCATTAGCGAATAAATGTTATGCGGGAATATTGAAAAGACAAAAAAAAACTTGCTATGGTAAAAAAACAGACAAAATTAGTTAAGCTATCAGGCTTGCTAATAGCAACATACACCTGGTATATGTTGAGAGAGACAAGTGAATGAAACTCAAGTGTTCATTCATTTAGGTCTAGTGGAGGCTAATACAAAGAGCCCACAGGCTCAAAGGCAACAATTTTCAAAACCGGAAGATGTGAAGAAACTCAACTATTAATGTTTGATGGAAAAGCAAGAATTGTAACAAGTTAGCATATTTGTTTTTTAAATAAAGCTGCTCGAAACGAACTCTTAAGCGTCGGCGAACCGTACTTTTAAGACAGGCCATAGGAAAACTACATTCACGTAAAAAAACTGTTCACATACAGATCCAAAGGCTAAAACTTATGTCTAAATTCACGAATGCAAGAGGCTATAACTTCGTCATGATTAACTTCAGTAAATACAATTCTGTAAGCAGAGGTGTTTGTTTTCGAAGGAAGGCGGGAACATCGTAATGTCAAAGCGCTCCTGCAGTTGCCTCCAAAAATTCAACTTGCTGATCTCAACATACCTGAGTTCAAACCTCAGCAGAAAGGCGACGTTGATAGGTGGCTTTAATCCTGATGAACCACAGAAAGGAGGCCTTTTGACAAAGCCCTTGGCTGAAATAGCACGAAATACTTCCAGAATTTCCTCTAGCGTAAACAATCACACAACATGGCGTCAGTCCGCTGGTCAGAACAACAAAAATACCGCCAAAGATGAAGAGCCGAGAATTGAGTCCGGAGATAAAAGTTCTGGGCTCTACTCTTGCACCACAGTTGGAAAAAGTGACGGAGGTATTTTCCACACGCGTTTATGAAACTTGAAACCACCAGATTTAACGCGAGCTCAGACAAATCAACGACAACACTCGCACCAACTACGAAGCAGACGCCATCATTCGGAGTCAGGCTCTCTCTCCTCGGCGAATCAGAGCGCCAGGCTGCCACTCGCGCGTCGGCAGGTCCCGATCACTGAAAGGCCCGCGGAGGACCTCGGCCGGCGCCGATTCGATCCTCTCCCCACCACTTCGAACCGGCAATACCTCTTACGGAACCCCAAACACATTTTTCCTGATAAATAATCGAATTAAGACAGCCGAAGCAAGGCGAAGCGGTTAAATAAATCGGTGGTGTACTACATGACAGCATTGGTGTGTTATAATCCTTAGGGAAGACCCCTATACAAGTCGCTCATCTAGTCAGGCAATATTAGAATGAACACAAACGAAAAAGCTACTACACGAGCAAAACTATTTTAATGGCGATTTTCATACAAATATGATTAAATTGAATCACATCAAGGAAACAATAGCACACAACTACCTTGCTCCACTGACAAAGGGCGACATAGTAGCAAAAAAATAATTTGGAAAACTCCTTATCAGAATGAAAATGAATATGGCATTCACATACTCAGGCTGCCATTATATAATAGAATCAAATCAATTGATAGATTGTTTCCAGCATTTAATGCAACAAAAATAGTTTGAGACAAAAAATCATTTACAGTTAAATTTTTTGAAATTAAATCAGACAGTGGAAAAAAGAAAGACGCACACCCATTAGGGTCCAACAACATAATTCAGACATACCACAAGCTTGATTTCAACTCTCATGAAATCATAATACGGAACATGGTCTGATAACAGATTCATGTAGCATAGGCAAAGACGGTGATTTCATGTGAAGAAACATAAGGCTTGGTCAGTTCAAAAAAACAATATACAACTTCAAGAATCATTGTTCCACTTATATACTGCACCACCCAAAGAGACATTGAGCAAATTTTGGTGTATCAAAATTGTCAATTTCAAGAAAAATCTTTCAATATATTTTTTTTAACGGTTCTTAAGTTCACACAGCCACGAAAGCAAATAAATACAGAATATGTTTAAAGAAAACATAAGAAAAGGAAATCCTACATTTGTTGATTAATTCCAATATCACAATTCATATAATGAAGTACAACACAAGTCAATTATAAAAATGCAGAGAAATTCAGAACTGCCAAGCTTAACAATAATACAGATGGACTCAGCCCTGTTCATTTGGTCATGGCTTATGCATTGTAAAAAGTTGTAATATAGCCTCGAGGTCTCAACATATTCCTCTTAATATTCAAGAGACTGTGTCAGGAGCTATTATATCATCTGGCTCTAACGAACTTTGCTCAAAATGATTTAGGCCATTCTGCCGAAGAGCAGGTTTACGGCACACAAAGAAAACACTTTTATATTCGTATTGCAACATTGACTCTTGGTTGGAAGAATAGGTTGTAGAGACATTGGTGTCCTCTTTCTGGAAGTAAACATAGGATTAGGTTGAAACAAGACAATAGGTACAAAAAAAGGTATTGTATAAGTGAAGTATAACTTGCTTCATACCTCTAATAAAAATCCAATTTTCTGAATGACCTCACGGACTACCTCATAGGAGGGTTCAATAGAATTCTCATTGGGAATATTAGCAAAATGGTACAATAAAGGACCAAGATTTACCCACACCCCACCTGAAGTAAGATTAACAGGGGAAAGTAACAATTTAACTGACTTTTTCTTGTGAAATCAAATTAAAGTATATGACAAACAAATAAAATGAGCGCCTGACCTGGTTTCAATATATTGTAGATTGTTTCAATGAATGAAACAATGTTGTGTCCACAATCAATGAAGAAACAAGTTGCGACACAATCCCAATGATCTGAATCCACATACACCTATAATGAGAATTTTTGTTTAGCACAAGGGAGATTAACGATACTTTGTGACCAGCTAATACAGAATAAAACCACCTACCTCCTGAAAATCTCCCGCTGCCATAGAAAATTGTGAGGTTGGAGGAAGATCTGAGGGGTTGACATCTGGAAAGAGCACTCCTCTTATTTGACTTTCTGCTTTGAGAACATTGTTGGATTGATGTATCCAAGGGAAAACCTCATAGGCATTAGTGCTTCGGATTCTGTGAAAGAAAACCACAGTTAATATTCTGTCAGTTAATATTCAGTTAGTACTCCAAAAATCTAACAGGCCCAACTTGGGCAAATTGACAAAATGTTTAACAAATTTCTTTATATACCCATTCAGGACGAAGTTTGATGCAAACAGCATGAATAGCGAGAATTCATTGCCTTGACATTGGTAACCATTGCGAGCTATTTCAAAAGCTAGGCGACCAAGACCAGCTCCAGGAACCAATACCTTTATATTTCCAGGGTCACTAAGTGAAAAAATTTAATTGAGTAAACAAAAACCATAATTTGTTTGAGAGTTGAAGAGAGAGGGGTAAATTTTATCCTTACCACTGATTAGGTGGGAAGTTTTTCAGTACTTCATCAATAATTGGCTGGTAGCACATCAACCTTTCTTTTGCCCCCTCTGCACTCCAGTCTCGCACAAGTTGTTTCAGAGTCGTCTCAACCCTTTCAAATTCACTACTCATTGATAAGTGGTTAATATTACTGTACTGTAAAATAAAGTTCAGTAAAATAAACAAGTTTTTGGTACAATCCACTACAGGCATAATCTGCTGACAACTTACGTGGTTGTCGGCATTGTCTGGGTGAACATTCGCAAACATAGAGTCCACATCCTTGATAATATGATTAATTATCTTTTCATTCTTCTCTATGCACTGTTTGATAACACCTAGATGCTGCTTATATTTGAGCAGCATATCTTGGTGATGTTCAGGTAATGATGCTAAGTAAGCCTCAGTTTTATTAATTCTTGCAAGTGAGTTTTTTCTGTAAGAGAAAAGAAGTTGTGATTTCAGCTTTGGGGCCAAGAGCTCACTTGATAGAACATATGACAAACACAAAGAGGAACCCAAGAAGACTAAATGTGCAAGTGATGAATAAGAACGGAAAATTCAGAATCTATGATACAAATAAAGTAGGAACAAGCGAAAATTTGAATTACAATGAACAACAGGTTTGTATTTAACAGGTTATGGTCTATCTTTATGAATGTCATGCATATTACGATGACTTTTAGACCGATATTTCAATCAGAACAAGCTATGAACAACAACTTAGGGTTAATACATGTAAAATCTTAAACTAAAAGCTATTATTAAGAACATCACTTTAAGTTGCTTTGTTCTGACAAACCTCACAATAACAAGCGATTTACTTACTTGTAATATTTGAAAGCACATACAATCCTCCGAAAGTGTCTTTCTTCTTCTATCTCGAGTGGGTTAGTAGGTGTATTTCCGATCCCTTCATCAACCTCCATTTGAACAAGAGATTCAAATAAATGTTTCAGTCAAGCTTTGCTTCTGCTTTGCACACACCACCGCACTGCACTTCGCGGTTGACTCGAGTACCTCGAGTGGGGGGTAGAGGGGGTGGGCAGTGGAGGGGGAAGAGGAGAAAAGGGGGAAAGGGGGAGGCGGGAGGCAGACGGGTGATTGTTCGAGGCCTGTTCGCCAGTAGTTTGTGGGTGACAACTGAGAGGGAAAACCAGGTCGGAAAAATGTGGTATGAGGTAATTTGGAACAATATACAGTGCAAAATGTTTCAGATGCCATACTTGATTTAATATTTAATATTTTTTCATCATACAAAAAAGTTGAAAAATTTATTTTTTCAAAATAATATTTGAGAATGATGAATATAGTAACAAGACAATACAAAAAAAATAAAAGGAAACGTAAATGCCGAGTCAATTTCTTTCAATTAAAATTCTTTGCTATGTATTTATTTGCTAATATAAACTATCACAAGATATTGTCATATAAATTAAAACTTAATAATAGAGTCTTTGGAACAAAGCAGTCAAATTTCTTTTGTACTTAACTGAAGGCCAGTTAAATGAAAAGTATACCAGATTAGTAAAAGTTGTGTAACCGAGATATCTACTAAGGTTCTTCATGTTTTCAAAAAAAAAAGTCATTAAAATTTTCGTCAAACTGGAGCTAGGATTGTGTCATAAATTTAGCTGCGATATTTCTTTACGCAAAATTTCTAATGTTCTTTGATCATTTTGCAATCCTCTCTCTTCTTTTCCCAAAATTTTCTCAAAGCTGTTTAGACAGACAATACAATTAACATGGAGGCAAATACAAAATCTGGTGAAGATATTTAAGATAGGACATAAAGGAGGAGATCATAGATATAAAAAATTACCACTTGTTTTCTGATGTCTGAGCAAACTGAAGTTTTGCTTGGTTCATTTCACGAACTGCTCGGCCCCACTGTTCTTTAAAATAGGCTTTTGACTGAAGTGAGGCATGTAATTTTCCTTCTAATTGATCCTGTGAGCACAAATCAAAGTAAATTTCACAAACAACAGATACAATAATTTACCAGTAAATAAATGCTAGTCTTACTACTTGAGACAATAACTGCGATACTTGATTATGGCTCATTCCACACATTTGTCGATCACTATGATGGGTAATAATTTTTTGTTTGAGTTGTTGGTGTAAATTTTCATTTTCAGACTCTAGCTCTTTAATTCTTTCTTCCAATTTGGAACACTTAGATTCAGCCAAAGATACCTGAAAAGATACATAATAATTTCAAAAAACTAGATACGTTGTGTTACCAATTCAATGAAAAGTGATGTATTTGATACCTTTAGCTTGAAGCCTTCATCTAATCTTTTTGCTGCAAGAGTAAATTCTTGAAATTTCAGATTGTACTGCAGTTCAAGATCTTCTCTGGCTTTGGTTAACTGAAAAAGAAATTATGTAGATGCAATTCTAATCCACCTTGGGATGCACAAATTACATCCTAATATAATTGATTGCAGATCACACATACCGCTTGCTCTCTGGTCGCACATGTCTTTAGGCGATCTCTAAGATCTTGTTTAGCCTTCCCTAGGGATTCAATCATTACTTTGCATTCTGCCATTTTGTTTTCAATAGTAAGGTTCTGTGCTTTCGTTTGTACTGTCCACTCATCGGTTATCTTGGAAATATGTTCCATCTCCTTCCTTTTCAACTAGAGCAAAGCAAAGCAGAGAAAGATGTGTTAAGTTTTACAATCATCAAATGTAAGAACTTGGACAGAGTTTAGAAAGGTCCGAACTTACTTCAGCTTGGAAGATTTCTTGCTGCTTCTCCTTCCAATCCTCAAGCTCTTCAACAATTCTGTAAGCTGCAGCATTATCAAGAGGCACACAAGGACCTTTAGCTGGTAGTATTAAAGTTTCAGTGACATTCTGATTATCATTCTCATGGGGTGCTTGTTTTAAGTTGAGACTAGTCTGAGATCTGTTATCTGAGGCACTTTGCATAATGTTACTTTTACTAGAATTCATGGTCAGTGGTAATTGTTTAATTTTATTTGTGCCAGTAGATCTTTTAAGAGCTTCTTCTGCTTCATGAAAATCAGTCAAGTTGGGTACAGGTTTTGAGAGTGGCAAAAAAGAGTCATGTTGAATTAAGTTCACTTCAGTCCCTTTCCTGGTTCCTTCATGGAGCTGTTCAAGTGACATAGTAACATGTAAAAGACCCATTTTTTGTTCACTTAGTGGTCCTCTTAAATCGCAAGATACTCTAGTTTCTCCCTAAAGAATGAGAAATATGAAATAAATTAAATTAAAACTAGAGAATAAAATACTAGGTATTTCAATATCACAGAACTGGAAGATAATTAATTCTAGGATAATTTGAATAAAACAGAAATTTGTTGAAGAATGCTCAATAATAATTACCTTTTCTGCAAGAATATGGGTTTTCACATGAATGTTAGTAGATGCAATATGTGATGAACTAGTAGACTCCGGCCCAACTCCCAAAATATGGATTTGAATGCTGTCACTTGGCTGAACTAAAATTTGAGCAGATACTCCTTCAACCTGCACTGATTCTTTTCCATCTTGAATTATAAATTCTTGAGATGTAACTGCAGACGAACTTGGGCATTCAAACCTGCAACGAAGCACAATCATTCTTTATTATGCAATTGATTTGCATAACTGTACACAATTATACATTTTCCTCACCCATACAAAAGACTTACAGAAATCGAACACAACATGATTTTGAGAGCTGAAAAAACTCTAGTCGATTGATTACAATTTTTATGCAAGCTCTCAAAGCACTATCTTCACCCACATATTTAGTTTTGGTGGTTAAATAAGATTGTGCTGTGCCTGGTGCAACTGGTACCCAAACAGGGCCACTCTGTGTCGTAACAATAAAAGTGTCCTGTGAATGGCGGCTTTCAGACCTTGATGGTACATCCTCTATTACTGTTCAAAAACAAACAAACACTTAGTATTTTATACAGATTAACTTGGCAATGGCCATACAATATTAAGGATACCTACAGTGTCCAGTTGGAACTGGATTATAAGAATCGCAAGAAGCAATTCCTTTTAAATTGTCCAAGGCAGAACTTTTTTGAAAGCCAGTGAGGTCAGATATTAATTGAAGTCTTGTCATAACTTCAATGTATGGCTGAAGATTGTCTTGTAAAGGTACAGCTCCAGAACTGGAGCTTACAAATATGCATTTTTGACTCAATAGAGCTTCCCCATTAAATTGTCTTGAGAAGGACTGAACATCATTGGTAGGCACCAATGACTGGGGAGAAAGATTTGGACAGACAGATTAAACAATAGATGAGTAAACATAATTAAATAAAAGGACATTGCATACCCTGATATGAAGTTCACTGGCAGCTATTTCTTGACCACAACAAATGAGGCATATAGCTGCACAAGGATTTTCTTGAAGATAGTGGTGTAAGACTGCGAGAGAAGTACGAATGGGGAGAACGACTTCCTCATCTATAACACAAATGTTTTTGCCACTTGAGCATCCAAAAGATTTAGTTTTTATGTTCTGGCCAAGGAATGTGAAAGATATTTGGAAAGGTTTTGTGTTATCATTTGGCCGAACAAGCTCTTGATTGTTGTGAAGAAGCTACAAAAGGCACATTCACAGTGTTAACAAAATGTAAAATAAATGTTTTAGGCTGACAAAACATAAAAGAAAAGAAATGCTTTATTTACTTACCAAATCCATTTCCTGTAATCGTTTAGCACAAAGGTGTATAAGAAATGTGTCGATGCATGCATTTTCTGCACCAAGTTGGATGTAGCCTTGCTTGGAGTCAGGTACCAAAACAGAAGTAGTGAACTGTGGCCGCCGAATTTTTGGTGCATTGTTAAAGTTAGGTGTTTCTGGCTTTCTAGCTATTGGAGCAGTTTCTGGGAGGGCTTTTCCATTCTAAACAATCAGAAAAAAAATAAAATAGAAAATAGGCCTAGAATAGCAGGCAACACTGTCATTAAGATTTCATACACGGGATGTAAAAAATTTAACTACCCAATCTTCTCCTGACAGAGGCTTGCTTAAGGAGTTTGGAGACTGAATTGTAAGACTTAATAATAGCTCTGGTTGAAGGGCTTTAGCTTCTTGAGGTACTCCAATAAGTCTATGCCATTTTTCATTCACCTACAAAGTAAAGAAAAACATTACGCACCATAGGCATAAGATGAAAACATGCAAAACATATAGAAAAGAATAACAACTAACATCCTTCTGAGAGTTCCCAACAATAACTTGAGCTGACTTAATATTTAAGAGGATAGAGCCGATGCACTCCCGTTGATTACCAACATCAATTGTAAAACATTCCAACTTAATAGGAGTGTTACTTGCTCTAAACCGTCTCAAGTTTCTCTTATCCGTCTCCCATACCAGATCAATGTGAAAAAGAGGATCTGGACTAGGCGGGACCACCTCTGTTTCTAGAAAGATACCATTTGTTCCAGCGACTATTACTATTGGGCTTTTAAGGAAACCAAAGCCATGACCTGGAATTTAGAAATGAAGTATTACATTTTTCAGATCAAGCCTGTTCAATAGAAGTAAACACAACGGTAAAAAAGGGAGAAAATTAAAATAAAGCTAACCTTCTCTGATGCTCAACTTCAGATGTATAGTACTGCCAGAGAGCTCCTGCAATGACATGTTGGTGAGCAACCATACAACCAACGATTAGAAACGCAAACATCTGATCTCTGCCAATTTTTTCTGCTTAAATGACATCTTCCTAAAAGACATTACAAGCTAGAAGATACCGGCTGAAATTTGTATTTCAAGCGCCATGGAAACAGTAGAGAAGGAGAAGGCGCTAATCAAAAATCAAAACAACTGGAGCGAAAGTACCAGTGGTGCCAACTAAGAAAGATTAACCTAACCTTAAAAATAGTAAGAATTTGGGGTTCGTGAAAATTATTCGAGGCGTTTTATGATAATTGCAAATTTCTTTTAATTTTCATAGTTTGTTGCGGCATTTCCGAAAGTTTGGTCAGTTTCTACAAGTGGCAGCATTTGGTCACTATGTTGGGCGAACTAGTTCAAATGAAGCGGTTTTATCAAATTGTTTTTAAATTTTTGAAGTGACAAGTTGTGTAGTTGATTACACCCTTTCTCAAGATTACACCCAACACATGCATTCATCATAAATGTAGGATTTTTCAAATAATATTTGAAGATGAAAATATAATTTATTTGATAAAAGCTCCACTTCCGTCGTCATGGTTGGATACATAATATTGTTTCATTCATTCATTCCTTCCTTCATTTCATTCATTCCATTTCCACCAATTATTAACAGAACCTGCATGATTTGTACAATGCAACAAATATATCCGAATGGTACAGAGCTATCTAAACAAACTCAGTGCTCAGTCGGTTAACAAAAACTGATAGAAATTGCTAAATTGCTGTGGGTGTCTGAGAGCAGCTAGGCAGATGTGTACAACACACAATTCGATAACTAAAACTAATTCATTGATGTACAAAAACAATTAGGTACAAAGTCTTATCAGTTAAGTCTCACTTCTTGTACACTATTTTGTACTAAATATGCAAACAAACTTGGCAATGTGCAAAAAGTCATTACAAAATAAAAGATAAAAAGCTCCATTGTCCTGTGGCATGTCCCAGTAGATAAACACATACAATTTAGGAGAAATTTTTCAACAAATGACAAAGAACCCTGATTAACACAGTGGACTATTGAGAGTAAGACAAATTTACAATTCATGAACATGTGAGCGGGTATGACTAAGATTTGGTCATAGCCTACGAGGTGAAATCCTAGAGGTAATGCAAAACTCTACACATAAAATAACAAGAAGTTCTCTAGACATACCATCCCATTGAATATGACAGCTAGGCGTACATAGGACGGGAACAAGAAGATATAGCTGCCCATTAAATTTTACAAATAAGAATGGGAAAGATAGAGGAACATCATCTGCTCCTGGACCATCACATAGGCTCGGACAATCAAGGAGTGCCTTTGTGTTGAGCTATTTGGCTTCACCGATTACTTATAGGACTCAAACACAATCCAGCCAACAAGCCTGCCACAAGACAGGCAGTTTCTAAATCGTCAAGGGTTTGTGGTAGTCTAGTAGCAGATGCTATACACTTTTGTCTTCTTATTCGTTAGAAACCTTATCAGTGTATAACTATCACGTCACAGTATTATTGCTAGATGTTTATGAGTGTTGAAAGAGCCTTCCATTTGATATGCTTCAGTCAATACAAAAGTCCTACACATTGGAAAAAATATCTACATAGGAAAGGCAGCTTAGTAAATACTTACACACTATTATATTGCTTCACATCATTGTACACAACTAAGACAAATATACAAAAGCAATGCCATTGAAGCAGAACATTGCGTGACATTGCTTATTACCCTGTTAATCTCTTCCGTTTGATCTAGGAAATTTGATTGCAGTAATTGCTCTTTAGAAGAGCAAAAAATAAATTTATAATTTAAAAAAGAAACATTTAGAATGAAATGCATTAATAATAATTAAAATCAATGTAAATTAATTACAACAAAGAGCATGCTTAAAGCAAGGCTTATGAGATCATAATTATATCTGCTGCTTCCACTGGCTAGTTGCAAGCGTTCAGCTTTACAGCCAGTGCAAGGAGTCACCTTTAGGATATAATCAAACATCGATTGCACAATGTTTGCAGGTGTAGGCTCCTTACATTTTTCCAATTCGCGAACAACACATCTTTGTAGGGCACAGACATCTCTGCAAGAAGAGAATTTTTAATAACAAGTGATCCAATATAGCCATTTATAAAATGGTTTAAGATGAAAAACCACCGGTACTTACTTGCATTCCTCTGCACCCACAATAAGTTGAGGTAGGTCATAAATATTGGGAGTTCCAGAAGGAAGGTGTTTCCCAAAAGTAGCATTAATACAATGAACTATTGCTTCTTTTTTGTCAGAGATGCATTCAGGACCACTTTCAGCAATAAACACTGAAAAATACAGGCAATAGAATGAGAGTAGGTAACTAATGCAAAAAACCAAACAAAACAAACATTGCAAGTATAGTTTTGATTTGCTTACAAGCAATGCGGTCGCCTTGTTTGAAGCACACAAACCCTAAGAGCTGCTCTGTAACATTTTGAACGAGCTTTTTCGAGTCTCGCTCCTTTTCTGATAAACATTGATTTGTTGAGTTGACAAACTCCATCACACAGTCTTTGAAAAGAGGGGACTTACTGGAAATGGGAAGAAAAAAGAAAATTTAATTTAAAAGTCAGAAAAATCTCACAAGCCAATCCCGGGATGCAAAAGAACAGTAATACTCACGCGCAATATTTTCTGAATACTTCATCTAGGTCTCCTGTTGGCTTGGCTTCTTCCATTTCAGCGGTAAGCTCGGTAACATTAATAAGAGAACGAACACACTTCTCAGCATTGGAGCCTGCATCCTGAAGTCAAGTTAACAGAAATAAGATAAGATACAACCACAACTAAACTTATTTGGTGTTTTTATTCTTACCTTGGCGTTCAAATAAGCTTCTTCTCCACCATTTTTCTCACATTTTTCTCTGAGTACACGTTCTACTTCCTCTGGGTTCGGTAATGCAGACTTATTGATGGGCAGATTTTCCAAACCTGGTATGCTAGGAAACTTGGATTCCACTTGTGGTAGGTCCAAATCAAGGCCATCATCGTCGGACATGACCAAAGCAACACCTGAGGGAAATAAATTTACATTTACTTGAGGACCTCACCGATTTAAATTAATAATTTAACATAATTTTTACTAATACTTATATATGTATTATTTAAAATAGAAGTTGGCTATTATCTATGATCTGCTCAGTCTTTCGAGTTAAAGAGTAAAGATAAAGGAGCTCAAAGCTGGAGGGTTCCCTATGACGGGTGACACAAGTTGAAAGTAACATTTTTGTAAAACCAAATAAAGATCTACAAGAGCAGAGATAGAGTACATTGACTTAAGTGCTTTCACTTCTATCCCAGTAGAAATTCAGGTACTGGCACTATCTGCTTGTCTGCATACAATCTACCACAAAGCAGCCCCACGGTCAGTATCAGCTGTGTCAGTCGTGTTGACACTTACCGTAAACAAGAGCGATGAGGATTGTCCACTTCATTGTAACTTGCTAAGAGGAAGGCGACCAGAAGAGAAGTTATTTCCTCCGGGTATGAGCAAAAGCACTTCAGAACGGCAACCAGCAGAACCTCCACTCACGGTATACGGACAGAGACCACAGGCCCAAACTCCACGGACCACGCACGTGCTACACCGCCTCGACTTGACACTCTTCTGTTAGCTCACAGAACTGAACTGCTGAGACTGACGTTGCAACTCTGACCCGGGGCCGCTCGGCTACCGCTCGCCTCCACTCCACTCGACCAGTGAGTTTCAGCAGCCGACAGGTTATCTCCCTCCTTGACTTCCCCTCACCCTCCCTCTCCCCTTTCTCTCTTGCTTGGCCCCTCCCCCTCATATACCAACCCTCAACAAGTGAAAAAACTCGTCTCTCGAGATCTTTAAACAGCTAAAACTTCGACAAGAACAGTTCAATGCTGATTTAATGCTTGATTTTAAATAAATTGTCTTTATATGGACAGATTCGAGTTGTAAACTCCACGTTAAGTTTGGCCGGGTAATTTTTTGTGTTGGCGACAGTTGGTGTAGTACCACTCGCGGCCGCTAGGGCGCCAGAGACCGGCCACAAATGGCGCTGTGCATTCAAAACAGGACTTTGGAGTCCGCGACCGCGATTGTAGATATGTCGGAGTGAGAGGGAAAAAACCTTTTGGGGACAGCGTCGGATCCCTCTAAGATGACGGCGGGCCAGTAGTGGCCAGTCGCAAAGTGTGTACGCAATTATTCGCATTCCACGAGGGAAAATGAATGGATGATGGGGGAGTGGGGGAGGGGGGTGGATATGGGATGAAAGGGGGGGGGGTGGAGGGGTTGATATGGGATGAAAGGGGGCGGGGAGAGGGGGGACTGACCACTGCCCTGGGCGAGCGGGCGTGTTGCACTTGATACGGTGAATCAGAACCGCGACAGAGCAAGGCTGAGCAAAGTCCGCGGAGATTTGCGGGATATTAAAACCATCTCCGGGGCGGGGAACGCAATCCTCCTCTCCCCCGAGCCGCCCCCGGGGGACGCCCGCGGGCTCGCCCCCGGGGACCGCGCGCTGCACACTGCGCAGATACTGTGGGGTGGGGCGAGGCACGCGGGGCACGCGCGTGCGGGAGTCGTTAACGCCGACGAGCTTGAGGGCGAACGGGACGGGACGGACGTGTTGTGGTGGGAGAGAGGCAAAGGTCCCACTGCGCGACCCGCGCACAACTCGTATCATGTTGTGTTGCACCCCCCCCCCCTACCAATCAGCAGAAAGGCTGAATAATATAGTGATTCCAGGAAATTGTGAAATTCCCATACGATATCGAAATCATCTGAATAAGGGCGAATTCGAAGAATTTAGTAAGCAATATGGGTGTTGGGATCTGAAAACCAAAAATGTGCCAGAGTATACTCCGAAAATTTAGGGATAAACACATGGCAGAGCCCATCCCAAGGCGCGGTGGACCCTTTACGGAGTGCGGGTCGCATCTCCTCTGCGCCCCCCCCCCCTTCCCCCCGGTCTCTTTCCCCCCGTCTGTCTGAGGCCTGCGGGTCCCGCCTCTCATTCCGATGTCATATCACGGCGCGGCGCTGGGAGAAAAACGAAGCCACCCGCGCCTCGTGGGAAGCGCGCGAATATCAGCCACCGAATTGCGTGGCTCCGCACGGTCGGTGGGTCACGAAAACCATAAGATGGTCCCCGAGCGGCCTTAAACGAAAGTGTTTCCGTAAAATTGTGGCGCGCCTACGGCGGCGTCGTGCGAAGATGAACGTTTGAACCGTTTTGTGTGTCTGTATCGGGAAACCCCAAAGTGAGAAACATCGACAGTTGGACGTCGAAGTTGAGATGGCGGTGATTTTTGGACCATGAGCACCCAGACACGCCTATTTGACGTCCGCGTCGAACGCTGCTTCTCGCCGTGAAGGAGTCGAGGGGCTGGAGCGTGTTGGCCGGCGGTGCCGAGCCCCCACTCGCACGGTGCGGTAGGCCGGCCCGTCGAGCCCCGCGCCGCGCCGGGCTGCCTACCCCGGCCGTGGCAGGCGCTCCAGGTGGGCGCCGCTGTGGGGGACGAGTCCCGGACGACCAGCTCCATGCGGAAGCGATGCGGTAGGAGCGTTGTTGCCGGTTCGAGAGCAGGTACAACTGCGAGCGGTTTTTCTTTTTATTGCCGGCATCCATACCGCGAGCTGCTGGGCGCGCTGCTTTGGCGCTGGCGTGTGTGGCCCAGCGTGTGCGGCTCGGCGGCGCCACACTCGACTGCATCCACGCGATCTGCAGCGAGGAGGGCAAAGGAAAGCCCAATCGGAGTGGTGTGCGGTGCCAACAACACCTAACGCCCGCGCACACGGCGCCCAATGCTTTCCCTGCTCCCCCGCGCTCGCGCTTCGCCATGTGCAGCTTCAGCCGACTGATTCAGATGGTCGCGTTCACTACCCTCGTCCTCTCGCCCCAGTCCGTGAGACACCGCCGCCACTAGGCCGTCGTCTGCCAACGCGACCACCCCAGGCTGGGCCCGGATAGAAAACACACGGCTCGCACACGGCCCTCTGCTACTGTAAAAAATGAAAACCGACCACCACCACTACCTTCAACAACAACAACAACACCACCACCACGACATCTAATGGAGAATACTTACAGCGTCGTATAGAGTCGTCAATGTCTCATTGAGAGGAGACGGACGGCCGCGTGGAGGGGAGAGGGGTGCACCGACGGGGCTGGCGGGGCTCGGTCCGGTCGCGCCCGGGCTGGCGCGGCTGGTGCTTGAGTTCGGTCCACGGGCTGGGCCGGGGCCGGGCGGAGGTGGCGGTGCATATTACGGGTCGTCCAACAGAAAGTACGTTCGTTTTTTCTCCGGTTCGTTGCGGGTGAGCTCGGAGCGCCTGCGAGACTCGGGGTAGGCCACCCCGCAGTACACGCATGTCCTGCAGGCAAGATGTTGCCTACCTACCAGGCGTCATGGAGAGCCCCTCCAGCAGTGAAGCTGAACTTGGCCATGTTCGTAACGGCGAATGGCGGACGTGCTATCTGGACGATCCCTTATGCGTCACCCGCCCGTGTTCTGCATCCTGCACCCACTCAAACCATTATCTGGACCGGGAGTATGCTTGCTTTTGCTTGCCGTTGGAGCGCTGGCTGGATAACGAGGCGGCTTAACGTAAAAGGCAGTCTCAGCCTCAGCCTCAGCGACTGCCTAAAACCTAAAATGCAATGACGAGCCTTCGTTCATGACTCACATGTTTTGACTCAGGATGGGTCTTGCGTACCGCTGCCCCTGTTCCTCCCCCTCTTCCTCTCTGACTCATACTTTCGACCCGAGCGTACGGGGTGGGTCCTTTCTGTCGTGGCTCCCCTTCTTGTCAGTGACTCATGCAGCACAGCGTTAGTGAGTCACAGAAACAGCCGACCCTTTCACCCCGCACCCCCCAGCGGGTAGTGTGCGTATGAAAGTCCAACTCCACGCCAACTAGGTCTTGGTGTGGTGTGGTGAGGTTGGACGTGTCCTTCCCTGTTTAAGAGCACCAAAGCCGAGACCAAAGCAGTACCGATCAGAAGCCTAAAAAGAGGAGGACAGGGGATGCAGCAGTTCGTTCGTTGTCAGTCAGTACAGTCACGTCCAAAAAAAAAAACGTGATTGTTGATGACCCCCCCCCCTTTTTCCTCCAATCCCCCAACTGAATCCATATATCCAGTTCTCGAGCTTAAAATTTGTGGCGTCGCTACTCTACCTCGTGACGCCCACCCAGTGCAATCTGCTAGGCAATGTAATTATCGCTACCTGATACTTAACCGTTCCATGGAAAAAAAATTGCAAAATATATGAAAAGAGGAGGACGGATCCGTTTAATAGGAGTGGGCTGTACAAGGAGTGCGCCCAGGCAGACGCATATGCCTTTTGCTATAATCATCATCCATCATTCATAATCCGAGGGCGAGCGGGGTTAGCGAGACGCGCAAAACACACAGTCTCCTCTCTTTTTTCTTTTTGCAGCGCCGTGTGCGTGTCAGTGTGACAATGCCCGGGGACGGACCGCATCAGGCGGCGGCAGGGGGCTCGTTTGGCCGCCGGATGGATGAACGGCCGCCGGCGCGCCGCGCTGCGCTGCACCCGGCGATCTAGATGTGGGTCAATCAGGCGGGTTAAAAACGGGGGAAAGAAAATACCAAAAAAAAACAATAACATGAGACCAGATCACTTTATTGCGACTTATTGGTGACAAATGCGAGGGATGGGATAGAGAGATGTCGCACCCAGAAGACCGTAAGTTTGACTTAACGAAATCACGAACTGACGATATTTTCGTAGATTAGAAGAAAAAATTTCTTTAGCTCAAATAAAATTTGTTCAATCCGCGGTTCAATCTGACAAAACTTTCGTTCTGTAAAATATTTTTTGTTGTTGTATGAACGAAAAAGTTTTCTTTGGTTTCTGGAACGAAATTTTCGTTGAAGTAAATAAAATTTCTTAAATTCAAAGAAACGGTTTTAGGGGTGCGCTTAAATATGATGATGAAAACAAACATCAAGTACTAAGGGGAAAGTGTTACACTGCTGCACTGCTGCCACCTATGCCCCGTGGGGACCCTTATCACCTCAGGCACGCGTCCGTGTGAAGGTCGTGGGAGTGGCGATAGGCGGGTCCACCTGGGCCGCCTGCCCCCCCGATAGCACACAAGTAGGGATATAGGTTGAACCATATAAAAAGAACCTGACACCTTCATGATTGGACATCGGACTCTATACTCATTATATACCCGACCCTCTCGGCCATCCTTTGATTAAATAAATCCACTTTGTTGAACCTGATAGGAGGCTGATTTGCTCAGCCCACTTCGACTGTACCACATGAGGTTTGCCTACTCGTTTGGTCGGTAAGGCGCCGCATACTTTTGGGCGGCCTAGCATAGGCCACCTGGTGTAGTCCTAGCTCACGCTGGTCGCACTGCACAACAGCCACACTAGCAGCGGCTGGGCGCGGGTCATACCCCGTCCTGATAAGCGTTATTGGGTCGAGAAGACGAGCTGCTGCTGCTGCTGCTGCCGCCGAACAAAACTTTGGAATCACCCAGCGGCCGCGGCGGCGTCTGGTTCTGGTGTCTGGTACAGGCACGCCCGAGCGAACCGAAGCCCCCCTGAGTATGTGTACAAACTTGTCGGCAACACCCGCCGTTGTCATCGCGCCTCTAACTCTAATCGATTGTATCATGTAGTCAAACGACTCGGAGTCGGTGAACCATCGACCCCTCCTCCTTCCGCCTGGCGCTGCGCCCAGCCCACCCGGCCCAGCGACACACGCGAAACGATACCCTCGCTCTTCCCTCCATCTCTTCTTCCTCCTGGTTGTCATTCCCTGCCTCCACACGGAGCCAGCTGGAGCGCGGGGGACGGGGGAGGAGCGGAGAGGAGAGGGGACCGGTTTTTGTTGGCCATTTGGCCATTCTGCCGCGGCTTAATTTGCGCGCTTATTACTGGCCTGCGATTATCTGCCGTGCCGAGACGGACGACGCGACCGCGGGGCGTTCCGTCTCATTCGTATCCCGCGTGGACCCCGCCGCGCCAAACATTTAAAGGCAATGTACACACCCAGCAGACCATTTAGTCCAGGCCGGTCCAGGCAAAACGATGACGATTTAGCTCTGCTAACAGAATTTTAAGCATGTGCCGATAAAATAATCAAGCGCGGTTTTAGGTCCGGCTGACGGGGGGGGGGGCGATGTGCTGTGGGTTGCTTACATACAGGGGTTTTGTAAGGAAAATTGCCTACCTCTCAGGCGGCTGCCTAGGGCTG